GTGTCAGTACGTACTGCAGCCTTCAGGTTTTTTCTATGAATTTGCTTCCATTCCCTACTCTACACTTCAGTGCTTGGCTGCTAGTGAAACAGCTGCTTATTGTGTCTTACCCTTTAAAATGTGATCTGGTCATAATGCTGTATGACCGGCTGGATAATACTGGATCAGCAGAGAAAAGGGAAAGTCTGGAAGTTGTAGGCTTCTTGAATGAAACTCTGCACACTGTGTAAGATGCATCACTAACAGTCCTCAAAATAAGAACATTTTTACAGTATGTTTCTTGAAAGGTTTTCTGTTTATGACGGTATATTGGATATACAAGCTACATCACTGGGGTTTTTGTCTGTTAAGAAGTTGGGTATGTCACTATGCGTGTGTTGCTGTATTAAGAAGCATGCTTAGTAGGCTTTGCTCTTGTACGGGAGGATGAGTCTCTTGATCTTCACCAGTTATGTGCAATACTTGTGCAGTGCTTCTTTTAATTTAATTTTTGTGATTGGAAGGACAGTCTAGTGCTTGTTAACATAATTCGATGCCCTTTGTCACGACTGGTAACTTTCATTCTTGCTTTTGCAATTAACTTGAGCAAATATTGTTCACCCTCTCAACTTTATGCATGGCATGCTTCTAGCTTTGCTCTATTTATCTTTCCTAATCTATTTGGAATATTTATAACTTGCAAGTGAAAATTCAGATGTTTTCACTACTTGGAACTTTCCTGTAGTTGAAATCATGAATGTGGAATTGTAACTGATGGTTATTTAATGTATCTAATAGATAGGAACTGGGGCAGCTCCTCTGCTTGGAGCAGAATCATTAATCTAAAAAGCTTGTGCTTTTGAGACTTGTAAGGTCTTTCAGCATACCTTTGAAAATTCTGAGGAAAATGTGGATGGAAAAATGCTGCTTTTCTTTTTTCCCTTTCCCCTATGCTGTTGAAAGGAAACAAAGGCTGACTTCTCAAATTAAACTTTTTTCCTATGGAAATGTCAGCCAGCTGAGAAGCAGTGTGAGTCCCTGTTGTACTGGATACCACAGGAGCTGGCTTTTGTGCCATTCAGTGTGTTTCTTGTAGTGGGGAAGAGATCAACCCTCAATAACTGTGATCCCATGTTAGCTTTACCTGCAACAGCTCTTTACAAAGATCTGATTGTTCTAGAAGACAAAGTAGTAGTTTGTCTCAGGAGCCGGTGCTTGATTTTTATTTCATTTTTTAACTGTGTTCTAAACTCATTACTCCTGAACTTGGCACTCTTTGCTTCATCACCTGAGAAGCTTTTTGTACCCAATAGAACTTGTCTGCCTCTTACTAAAGATAAACCAGGCCTTAATGCAGCTGTATTTTGTAAGCCTTATGTAATCGAAATATCAAACTCCCTCACCTGGTGGGAATCCTGCCAAATATGACAATTTAGGTGGCCTGAGCATCTAAACTGTGGTCTTATTTTGAGGTTCTTGCCAATTTACATACTAAAACTATAGTACAAGGAGTAAACATACAGGATGTACATCTCTTATCAGAACCATTAAATGCTATTCTAAGTTTTAAAATATTGTGACTCTAAAGGAGTTTATAATTCTAGAGCTGTTTTCTGTCATACTATAATAATATATATTGAAACTGCACTGTCTTAAACACTACTAGAGGCAGCTTTCAGGTTTTTTTCTGTTGGGCTTTTTGGAGATGAGTGTTTTTATTACAATCTGTGAAACATGCCTGTTAGCTGTAATTAAACAGCAATTCCATCTCTTTAAAAATACGTTCTAACAAGTAGATAGGCTAGTGAAAGCAAAACTAATGTCAGTGCTCATGGATTTGTTTGTTCCCCGGCAAACCAGTGCAACAGCATAAAAGCAAGCTTTCCTCTCATGAGGCAAAAATGCAAATAATTTACAAATTGCACTGAGGCACTGAAGTTAATACAATCTGGTTTCTGTGATTTATGTTTTTCTCAATTTTCAGTAATGCTTCTGAAATCAGAGCATTAAATTCTGAAAACAGTGTTATTTATACGTATGCCTCAGTCATCTCCGGAGATGCTTGGGGATGTTTATCTTCAGCGCACCACATTTGTGGCTTTTTGTCACAAAACTTGGTCATCTGCATGGCCCTTCCTGTGGAATCAACAGCAAGTTCTAAATAGACTGAGTAAAGATGTGCACGTACACCCCCTCCCCCAGTGTCTCTCTGGAATAACCTCCCTCCCTTAAGAGGGAAGGAGCAGGGGAAATAGTGTCATTTACTTTTTACTAATGTAATAGAGATACAAAAGCATGCTTATTTAAATACAGGGATTGTAGAATTCAACACCACAACTTTTTCTATTGCTGTGGTACTAGGACACTGTTAGCTACGAGGGGAAACAAGATAATGCCACCTAATCCAACTGCCAAGATGTTCTTTCACACCCGGCATCCACTCTTCCTGTGCAAGTTTACGGAGAGTTACTGTACTCACTGTCTCGTTTCCAGGTTATGAGATCTTGTCAACTGATCGCTTCAAATCTGGTAGGGCAAAAGGTGAGTTGGAGTGAAAACAAGACACTTTGTACGTGGTACCTCTGTCTGTCTGGCACTCCCATTTTTCTCTGCTGCTGCTTTAATATTTTTTAAGATGAATCAGTTTGTTAAAAAAAAACATCATCACAATACTGAAAGGACTATGCACTTCTTGCTTGAACGCTGATTGTGTAGAGGTACTTAGCTTGGTTACAAACTAACAGTGACAATAACAAGACTGTCATTCAGTGTAATTAGATACATTTTGTTTTGCTCTGTTGTCTAGGTAGCAAATAGGTGGATGCTCTTAAGTGTGTGCTGCTGTTCTGCACATGTCAGGTGTGAGCTGGTACTCCTCTCTAGAATCTCTTTAGTTACGAATTTTTATGGCAGAGCATATATTTATTAACTAGCAACAAGATAGGAGGTTCTGATTTAAACTAGCAGATCAGTAGTATCACCCACAAATGCATAAGAGAATAAAAGGGCAGTTGATTTTATTTATCTTCAATTAGGGAATGTTCTCTCTTAGCCCTTTTAGGACTGCTTTCCTGACCTGCAGATGCTCCCAGCTGCAGGGCAGCTCCCAGCTGGTGGGTCTTGCTGCTGCGGGAAGAAGCCTGAACATCAAAACAGACTGGCAGGAGGTCTGATACAGAGAATTGCTAGTGCGTTTAGTCCCATTAAACTTCACAACTATAAGTGGAAGAGTGAGTTGTCAGATCTAGCGAAGTTTATTGCTCTCTTTCCTTTTGAGCAAATTTTTAACATCCTTTTGAGAAGCCCAGGGAGGAGCCAGTTTTATTTAGCAAAAACATAAAAACCATTCAAGTTGTTTGACTTGTTTAAGATTAAATGTTTTGATAGAGAAAAATTGTGTGATGGCTCAGGTTCTTTTCTTCCTCCCCCAGTTTTGAAGAAGATAGTATTGGCTAGTGTGAGGGAGGAATTTGTTGGGGCTTTTTCTGAGGGAAAAGAATGGGAAGAGGGAAAACAAGACTGCTAAAAAAGCTGTGGGGGAGTTAGTTGTGTGGCTAGCTTCTGGTTTTGGCTTAGAAGCTGCACATCCAGAGTTTTTCTCCATACATTCCATTCCTTTAAAATGTGCCAGACGAGGGGGTGGGGGAAGGTGGGGTGGGGGGTGTTGTAACTGCTATTTTATTTTTTTATATTGATTGTAATTGTCTTGTTTGAAGCAAGTTTAAGTCTGTCCATTTCTTTCTTGTTGCCTTTTTTTAAACATATAAGCGAAGATTAAAAAAATCAAATGGGCATATAGTTTATTGTTTGAACCTTACAGCAGTTGACTGTATCTGGTGAATTACTGTATATTTGAGTTTCTTATATTCCAGCTTTCGATGTCCCAGTGATAAAAATGTTCTTACCACCATAATTCTTGTAAGTTGGAACAATTTTTGATTTTTCGGAGTTACCAGCTCCTGAGAAAGCTTTTACAGGAGGAGAAAAAAAATTGTCCATCTGAGTATGCTGAGTTAGATACTAATGTGAGGTGTTGCAGTGCACAGTCTGCAGTCCAGTTAAGTGCTAGTTCTGGTACTGCTTTCCTCTGTTTGGGCATTAAAAAATAACTTTTAGTTCACAGTACAACAGCACGAGTGAGCAGTGTTTTAATGCTGTTGTGATGCTGCCTGCTGCTGCTCTGGTCTGTTTGATACTTAATACATAGCACTGGGCACACTGAGTGTTTTTGGAGGCAGAAGGGGGTGGCAGGGAGAGGGGGGAAGCCTCCAAATTTTACTACAAGGAAATTCTCAAGGGGTTGCTGTGAGTATTACTGTTGCACATACCTGTTTATTTAAACACCCTTCCTTTGGAGGCAAAAAAAAAAAAAATCATGATTCCAAACATACTTTATGGCTGGGACTAGAGTTTAACCCACACAACAAGTTTACAGACAAAAAGATTCATTTCCTTGTAGCTTACAAGCCTGAAAATGCTGTGAATCAAACAGTTCCTGAGTGCTTTAAAAAGAGTATTTTTTAAAAAAAACTACTTCACTGACTTTTTAAAATGGTTCTCAACATAAGTAAGACAAACTATTTTAATATTTAGTGCAAATTTGTTACCATTAGATCTTGTTTATGAGTAATTATAGTGTAACAATATTGCAAGCAGTTCTCAGGGATTTTTTTTTGTCCTATTCAGTATTGTGTAAGAAAAATGTAGTTGTTCTGTATCTTTAAATATTTTAGCCTTTTTAACGAGCTAGTGCTCTGCAACCACACTTGACTACAGGAAGCCTTTCTTCTTCTGTACCGTCATCATTTGCGATACGTCCCCCTCCAGTACACTCGTTCATTTGTTCCCTGCCACGTCAGTCAAATGTGTGTGTCTAGCAAACTATCCTGTCACCGTCGTGGGGCTCTGCCTGTGCCTGGGACTGACAGCAGGTACAGAGAATGCTTTCAAACAGCCTTGAATGAGAGAGAGAGAGATTCTTTTAATTTCTCTTTTAGTCTCATTTTATTTTTAGAAGGGAAATGTCTCGTCTCTGGTATGGGAAGAAGGGAAGAAAGCACCAGCCAGTTAATCATAAATACGCTCTGGTAATTTTCAGTGTAGTCTATTCATTTGTTATTGCATTCCTCTAATGTTATGGTGCAGACACAGTTTCTGGAAGTTTAAATTTGGAATGTGTAAACAGGATGCTGAGTCACAGTTTTTCATTGCTTTTAGGTGCATAACCTAATTGCTGGTATTCCACTGGCATTAGGTAAGAGAAACTACTTTAAGCATTAAAGGGGTTGGTTTTTTGTTTGATTTTCGGGGTTTTTTTGTTTGGTTGGGGTTGGTTTTTTTTTGCTTTGGAGTAGTGTGTGGTTTTCAACAAAAATGTGATTTATAGCTAAATACTGTGAACAGTAGCTTGCATTGACATTTAATTAGATAAGTGTAGATCTCCTGAGTTACCATTTGATTATACCCTCTCAGAAGTCATTCAACTTTATGAAGGTCTGATAATACATAAATTGATGGAGATGAGTATGCTGTAGTCCCACTCACATTTCTAATGAAGGAGGGCCAGAGACGGGACAGGACGCTGTTTTTATAGTATATTAGATTCACAAAGGTAACTGTGGTGTCTTTTTTCAGGGTTGTTTTTCCTCAAAAGGACTTGAATTTGTATTAGTATGTAGAGGAAATTGGTTTCAGTGAGACTTGCAAAGCAAACTTCTTGGGGATAGAGAGGAAGTGGTCTTGTCAATATACTTCTTGTGCTTTTACCAGCTGGTAGATATGGAAGGTATTTTTCATTCAGCCTCTGCTTGCAACAGGCTTGTAACCATCCTTTCAAGAATTACGGATCCCCGATTTTGGCTCGTGCTTCTCTTGAAGGTGCTGTTGACTCTGGTTTTTATTTTGATGTTTATTTATAGCCAGGTTACTTGTTGCCACAATTTCATATTCTGCAACTGGGTTTTTGTAGATAATAGGCTCTTAATTTTCATGAATGGAATGTAGAATGGAGATGTAATTTCTGAATTAACTCGTGTAATTTGAGCATACCCTGTAGCAGTGTAAAAGGTATCTGAAGTCTACCAAGACATTCTACCAAGAATGTATTCTTTAATATGTCTCTATATGTAGGTACATATTGCCCAGCTAATTAAAAAAGTAGTAGTATCCCTTGTTAAAATTACTTCTTTTAGGACCAACACTTCGTTTTAGCCAGAGTCCAACTATGCTAATAAAAGCAATAGTTATCAGCTTTTAAAGAGAGGTTGAACTGAAGAAGACTGTATGAGAATCTTTGCTGAGAGAGATTATTTTAAGGTGTAAAACAAGTCAAATCAGAAAAAAGGGTATAAAGTATCTGCAGACGGGAATATTTTTAAAATGTTGCTATGTCGACAAGACATGCTCTGTTCTGGAAGTTGAGGATTTTTCCTTCAATGAATGATCACAAGGCTAACGTGCAAGTGTAACCTACTTAGAAGAGGGAAGGAGTATTGGTACCATTACTTCTGTGGCACACAAGACATAGTGGGAAGCATGTTGAAGAGACTGGCAGCATATATGAAGTGCATGTTTTTGACTAAATATTTCATTAGTGGTTGTTCTGAAATTTGGGTGAAATAACATAGTTGCTGGACGAAATGGAGTGATATAATAAAACAAGAATTCTTGCTTGAAGCAACTAAGTCACCCTGGATTATTTACCTGAAAGACCTTTGTTATTTTTGAGGTGATAGTGTAAATTTGGACTGAGTGTTGTAGGGAGTTGATAGTTTCCCAGCATAAGAGATCAAAATTTTGGCAACTAACCGATGCATTATGCTTCCCCTTCAAAAACTCAGTAATGTTGGCTTCCCACTTGTTTAGTAAATCTGTTTCCTATTTACTGTGTTTCTTTATTTTGCTGCAGCACAAGAGGTGCCAGTAAATTTCCAGAATGTCAGAAATGCAGGCAATCATTCTTTCTGTCAAAGCACTTTCGACAAAGGACATCGGACAATACAAGAGAACACAAGGTGGATTGCCTTCTTTGGGAATGCTTGTCCTGCCCCTAATGCTTTGCTGAGCTTCCCTAGGCAGCCAAAGGGAACAAAACTGAAAACTGAGCTTTGGCCTTTATATTCCTAAGGTGTTATGCAAAGGGAGTTAAAGTGGTGTTGGTATTAATAGCTTGAATGATTTTAGACTTGCACAATTTTTGAGATTCTCAATTTATCGGTTAACTGCAGTTGGTAAGCCTGTGGCTGTAGTTCTTTGGTGATTATGGAGGTATATAATAGGGGCTTACATGTGGAAGCTGAGAATTTAGTACTTCATTCCTGTGGATGTCAGAACTGCAAGGTGCATCAATCTAAAAAGATCTTGGTAATATTATTGAAGTAAGCTTTCCATAGTATGTTTTGTTTTAGAGTAATAAAGAGTGAACTGGTCATCTGTGTCTCTGTGCAATCCAGTACTTCATTACACTGATCACTAAGCCTAGAACCCTTCCTTGGTGACAGATATTTAGGGCAGTAGATAGGGCAAATAATTAGGGGGTTTATGCATCATACCTCGACTGGACATTCCATTTAGTAACTAGGTGTTACATTGCTTACTTTTTTTAATCATTGTGAAATATTAGGCCTCACTACAAATGCAGTCAGAGTAAAATAGCAAATGAACACTTGGAAAAATTGATTTTAAGTTGAAACAAAACAAATGAGTAGTATAGGCTTCTATTTTTTTCTTGCATATAGTTAATAGTCTGTGCAATCTGAAGTTGATCCTCTAGCTGATCCTCTTTCTGGTGAGAGAACTGTTTCCATAGTGGGCTGTGAGTTACTTACCTACTTCTAAGCATGTAGAGTACTTTCTTGTCATACCTGAGCAGACCTCTCTGCATGGCACTATCAGAACTGAGATGTAACTTTGCTCAGCCCTGCCTTCTCCTGGAGTGGCAGCTTGAGGTCAGGCACCAGGTGCTGTGGTTTTGGCATTGGAAGCTAGAGCTTCCTTGCTTGCTAGTGCTGAAACTTCTTTAAGTTGTTCTGAACTGGGCCTAGGCAGCTGGGTTTATTGGTAATGCTGCTATAGGACTTCTTTCTGTTGACAAATGAGTCAGGCTGCCTGAGCTGCCTCTTTAAGAAAGTAATTTTCATAGATACAATTCTTAGTTCGTTGCACTAACATCCTAAGCTTTGTTTAATGTTTGCCCGTGTTGATTTCAGCCCTCTTGCTGGCATTATCATATCTCTCAAATTAATAATTTCTCATATCTTGAAAAACTAGCTTGTTACAAAGGTTTCCAGACTTGGTGTAACACTTGGTGTGCTGCAGGCTTGGACTGCTGTCTTAAGTTCATTTATAAATTCTGATTATTGCAGATACTTTAATTTATCTTCATTTTATGTTAATTGGTACAGTTGCTGTGGACTTAGACCACTTTGAGGCAGACACTTAACAGCCCATCCTGCAAAGCTGTGGAGGACAATACTTACCACAGGGAGAATATTGCTGTTGTGTAATGTACTCAGCTTCGTGTGCTGAGCAGTTCTGAGAGCGCCACTTTTAAAGGTATTGAAGGAGAAAGAACTGCAGTGCTGGGTAATTCAGGACACTGCTGTGATTCTGTCTCTTCTGCATAAAAAGCTCTTAAACCATCCCTGCCTTGTCACCACTAGAGTGACAGGGAGCTGAATTGGCTGAAAACTACAGGAGACAGAAAATGCTTAGCTTTGCAGCCACACTCATTAAAAACCAATCAAACTAAATTACTCTTAGTTTTCTATAGAATGATACCATTTAACTGTTTATCTGATGTGGTGAACCCCATGTAATAATGCATTATTGTAATGTAATCCATATGTCCCAAATAATCTTATTTGATGGAGAAGACTGCTTCTTCAATATTGCTTTCTCTGAAGCAGTGTCTAACATTTTGGGAGGAAATTAAACTTGTCTGAAAAGTCAGGTAATTGTTTTCTCTTAAAATATTCATAACAGCATTCCGTTCACAAATGCACCTTATATTTTCATTGGAAGATATTTACAGCCATTAGAAAGGTTTGATAATTTCTTCCCCCTCATTTACTGATGAATTGGAGGTGGGCTGATACTTTGCAGTCAACTTTGTAAATGTCCTGATAAAATTATATTGGCATTTTTTTTTTTAATTAAATATCCTGGAACTCTGCAAGTGAAAATTTTTGACTCTCACAAGATAACATTAATGAATGTTGCAGTTTTCCTGATTTTACACAGCTGTATTAAGATTCAAAGTTAAATTGTTGAGTTTTCATTCTCTTTCTTAATATTTGGGTTCCTTTAATTTCATATTTACAGCTGATCATGAGGGTATAGATAGCTTATGTTGAAGAGAACCACTTCTACCGTTTGCTTTCTCCATTCTTATCTTTCAGAAGTGCTGTTCAGCTCTGATAAGACCCTCCCTTTCTCCAAGCAGATAGTTTCAGCTACTCATTAACTTTTAAATTCAGCTGTAGTTTGTGTGAGCGTAGCCATTACGCTGCCCTGCTAGTCACCATGCATTCGTTGTGGCTTTGTCAACATTCAGAGGAATGGAATGCCTCACTGGTGTAAGCAGTTCTCATGTTTACAGCTCTCTATAGCAGGTTGGTGGGACCAGTGACTGAAGGGCTTGATGTGTCACCACCACCTGCATGGCAACGTGTCCTTCGTGGTCACTGAAACAATTGTAATCGCCTTTTAGTGTCTGTTGTTGAAGGACCATAAAGTTCCGTATTAGGAATTTTGATTTCTATTTTGCTTACACTGTATACCAGCATAGCTTGCAAGAGCTAAGTACTCTGACGTACTTGTAGAAAAACATGGCTTAGAACATGAGTTTCTCCGGAAGGAGAATCCCAAGCCTCTTGATTAACTGAATCATAAGTATGCAAACCCTCATTTTGACCTACTGCATTAAATATTAAAACTTGAGTGTTCTGCTTAGTGATTAACTCAAATGTACATGGTGTGGAGAGTCAGTCTGAAAAGCACTAATGCTGCAAGAGTTGTATGACTCACTCCAGCATTAATCAATGTTGCTGTTAATAGAGCTGGTGGTAGTATATCTCTAAGGATATATCCCATGTCATTTCAAACTTGATTAGCCCTTGGAATTGTCCTGTGGTAGATTGTTCCAAGTCCCAAAGCAGAATCGGTTTTGCCCTGAAGCACACTAATCTGGCTACACGCATTATTTGTTTCAGTGCCCACTTTAACCGTAAGAGGTTTAATTGTTCTTTCCTCCTGCATTCTTTTTGAATCAGAAAATAACTAGAGTGGGTCCTTCAGGAACGTTTCCTGATCATCAGAAAGTAGCTTTGGGTATCAAGGAAGCTGGATGCTGATAGAGCATAGCAAAGAGATTGCAGTAAATAGAGCACATAGCAAACTCATAGAGGTAGGCCTGCACTTCAACCTTGGGCAGAGTACTTAGATTGCTACCATTTTGGGCAATTTGGCAATTTCTGCGTAAGGATGTGGACTGTATTGGGATTTGGAAAGCCTTGTCCTGTGCCCTAAGGACTTAAGTGTAAGAACTTGTCCAGGTTGGCTGAGGACCTTGCTCAGTCAAACTCAGTCAAAGCCTCCAAGGATGGAGTTTCTGCAGCCTCCCTGGGAAGCGTGTTCCAGTCGTTAACCATCAGTAATATCAACTGTTTGAGCCCAGTTGTCCAGCCAGTTTTTCAGCCTTGTTCTTCACACATTTGACATTACTGATTTGATTGCAAGGCTACTATGGGATAGAACCAAAGCCTTGGTGAAATACAGATAAATAGCATCCACTGCTATCTGCCTAAAAATGCAAGAATTTTTTGTTAGAGAAACATTCTGTACTGAAAACCACAGTCCAGTATGATGCATACAAAACTGCATTTGTCTTTCACAAATAAAAGATCTTGCTTTCTAGATGCTTCTAATACCATGTGAAAAAAATAATGAAGTTCAGTGTTTAAGAATGCACGCTTGAAGTGGAATGAGGTAGAAAGAATGATCAGGAGAACAGACTGCTGATGGTAGGGGCTTGGGGGGAGGGGAAGAAAATCACTGGTTTGTTTATTTTGGTGAAATAGAATAGAGGATTAATATGACTACAGGGAAGGAAAATGAAGAAATCTTGATGGAAGAGGAAACAGCACAGGCAGACTGTGACTTAAACCAGGTTATAAACCAGAATCAGCTTCTAACTAATGACGCTACAAACATTTCAAAACAGCCCTCTCAGGCCTTGCAGGGAGGAGATGCTAGCTGTTTTCAAGATCCATCTCAATTCCTGAATGAAGCTGTAGAAGGCAGTATGTGACTTCATGATTAAATGAGCTATGGAATCCTGAAGTACATCAAACTGTCCACTGCAAAGCAAAAATAAAGTATGTTGACCTAAACCACAAGCATTTATTTATCTTAATGTACCCATTTAAAGCAGAAATCAGTGATGAGTGGATAAGCTTGAAATAGTTTGTATTGTGGTTTACTCGCAGAATTTAGTATGGATTGTATACTTAAAATAAGCACTGAATTTGAGATGGTGGATTCCTTGCCCTTAATTTCCCTGTTGATCGTTTAGCATCCTATATCGTGCTCTTCATGATGTTTGCCATCGCTGTGCAGTGGTCTGGCGCTGTGCTGGCTTTTGTTCACAAAACAGATACAAAGACGTGATGTGACGATGTGCAACAGGTTCAGGATGCCAAGGGACCATTACTGTGTACATATGTGCATAAGCACTCATGTTTCTCCTGGGCAAGAAATTTATCCAAGTACCTTATGCGCACTGTTCTGAGGATGCAGGCACCCCCATGGCTTATGAAAAGGTGTGTCAGAGCTTGGTCACTGAGCAAAAGGGTTGATAAGCAGTTCCCAGGTGCAGGGTGGTGTGTGCCTCTCACAGGTCAAAGGCAAGGTGGTGTTGCCTGTAAAACAGTTTACATTCCAGTATGTGAAACAGCAACTATATAATGGTGTGGGGAGGGTGAGGCTTCTTTTTTGGCAAGAATCTCCTTAAGTAACCACACATTTATGACGCATTGTAAGTTAACTGCTGCTTCTCATGTGATAGGGGCTGAGCTTAAAGAAGCATTAGGGCTAAAGGGTCATCACATTATTGCTTTTCAGGATTACATTCATAAGTTGCTGGTGTGAACAGTGTAATTTGCAATGAACTGTTACAGCAAGTAAAAGTTTAAAACTACACTATCACTTATGTGCTTGAGTGGAAAACTGTTAAAGCTTTGCATATAGCTACTTGACTCTGAGAATGCACAAACCAATAGAATTTACAACAATTCTCTTGATGTTTTTAAGAGAACTGTAGAAAACCGTGGAAATAAAATGATTGCTAGTTAATTACTGATTATTCAGTAATAAAACTGGATGTCACAAGTATTCCTTTCTCCTTGCCTTGCAGTTGCATGGGGTAGAGTCAACCATCGCTGCTCAAGAGCCAGTCATGCGTGACTGTGGGCTCTGTACTCAGGACAGTGGCGAGTATCTGGCCAAACTCCTTGTAGTAAGGGGCAGGTAGATTGGGAGCTGCTGGACTTGTGGTTATCTTCCTTTGACTGTGGTAGGCTCTAGAAGTTTTTAATACACTCTTACTACATGGGACATCCATTTAGTCTCTCCACCAGCTGTTTTAAGATGCTTTCATATAAATGATGATTTTGAGTCATTCTCAAAATCACATTATTTGCTGTAGTTACATCAAAATGACTGTTGTGGTCCTTTAGCCAGCTTGTTGCACTAGAACAGCATGTTCTAAAGCTTTCTGACTAAAGGATTTCTGGCTGTACACCTCCTACCAAAGTGGAGGTGCCATTTGGAGTGAATGTGTTGACATGAGCAGCTCCTGAAGCTTTGGAGGTGAATAGAAAGTCCCAGGATAAAGATACTGTGAGGTGGTATTGGGAAGTTACTAAACTTTAGTTCTGCTTCCTTGTCTTTAACTGTATCTTCACTGCCAGATGAGAGTCAGAACCTACTGAGAATCCTGGGGTTTGCTTCTAGGCTTTATCCAGGAAAGCAAACCAGGTTCACAGGAAATCCTTCATCTGGGTGTAAAGAGTGTTTGAGAGGACTTCAGCCTAAAGAGTTTGGGTTAAGGCATGCAACTCTGACTTCTGATTTAGCATCTTGATACTGGTAACGTGATGCGCTCCTGTATCAGCTCTATATTCATCCTAGAGCAGTGAGATATATCTGACTGCTAGTGCCATTAGTGTTTATTTTGTAATTTTGCTGTGTCTACCCATGTGTCTATACACTCGCCTACCCGTGCATTGTCTGTGCAGAAACAAACATCTTCTAGCACTTCTTGTTTGTTTATCATTGCACATTTTCCCTTCATTACTCTCCTCCACTTTTTCTTTTCTTTCTTACCTTTTTACTTTTCTTCAACTGTCAGTGGAATTATTGTCTTCCTGTCTCCATATTCAGGTAGTGTCAGTGGCTGAGTACCACCGCAGGATCGATGCTCTAAATAGCGAAGAACTGCGCACACTCTGCAGACGTCTCCAGGTGCCCTCTTCAGTAGTTTAAACCCCATCTCCAGATACTAAAACATCTTTCTTTGTAGTGTCTTTGATCAGGGCAAGTCCCACACTCAGTGGGTTTGTCTTGACTACAGCACTACAAGGATCCAGCAGAAAATTCCTTTGTTTTGGATGTATTTAATTGTGCAATGGTGTGATGGAATCAGTAATTTTATGATGGAATTACTACTTCCAGCTTTTTCAAACAGGAATTTTCTGTCAGAATTTAAAAAGTCATTTTCAGTGCTGCTTGACTTGGAGTGATGTGTTTTAACTTCCACTTTAGACTGGTGTGTTGTGTTAGATAGAAGCTTTCCTAAAAAGAATGCAAACCAGGTGAAGAATCCAAAACTTTCTCGCATGGGTGTTTAATTTTATATAGGAATCTTTTCCTCAAGAATCGCACAGTACTTGGCAAGTATGAAGCTTCACAATTTCTGTGGAATAGGTGAGTATTTTTCCCGTTATGCAAGCAGATAACCGAGGCAGTTCGGCACTGCAAACTTCGTACACGTGGAACTGGTAATGGCACTGTCTATTCCGAAAACAGTACTTGGGTTTGGATTTTTGAAGGCTTACTGATATGGACTTAAACTGGTATTTGCATTCTCTTTAGGTGTTTCTCAGTTCTTTGACAATTATAAAATGGTTAGCTGGTGTGTACATCATACATAGCTCACTGATGGAAAGCATAGCTTGGAACTCCTTAGCAGCATTGAGTATTTTGTTTTCCTTTAGTAAGTGGCTGCTGAAACTGTAAAAAAAAAAAAGTCAGTTCTGTTTTTTTACTTTGATCTTGGCTTTTGGTCACTTACTATGTAATTACACATAAGAAAACATTTTCTTAGGTCTTTTATTTCTGTTTATTTAATAACCAGTAATTGCTTTAAAAGGTTTTGCAAGTAGTATGGTTACATAAATCAAAAATGAGCATGAAACCAAAAGCTGCCGTTCTACTTCTATGGGAAAATCAGGAATTTTGCAAAAAAAAAAAAAAATCATTCCCACATGAAAACAGAACAATTCTTTCTGATGGTGGTGGTGGAGAAGAATCCTTGTATTGACACCCTGGAAGTGCAAGAACTCTTTCAAAATACCTTTCACCTGAAATGCTCAGTGTTTAGGCTGACTTGAAAAATCTGTGTTGGGGTGCAGCCTATAAACTCTCTGCTCTGAGAGCATTTAGGTGTTAGTGGTGTAGACTGCGTGGCAGTTGCCAACCTTGGAAGCCCCTGGAATCTGACTGTGTTCGGTCTGCTCTGTCAGAGTTTAGTGGGAACAAAAAACCACAACCCCACACACACCACTTCAGTCCAAATTATTTGTGATTTGCATGGTGCACTTTAATGGAATTAAAGCATAACAAAGGGAATGAGCTTTCTGCTGTGCACTTGAACAAATCTGAACTCTTATGGAGTTGTAGCCTAGCATATGATGGATGAAAGGCATTTAATGTGGAGACTACCAACTAACGTGGTTTACAGATAGCACTCTAATGTAGTCTGTAGCTCATATTCTTGTACATGAAGCTGTATGGATAGAAGTCTATACATTTTTGTTGTGATGTGGAAATTAGTGTGTAGTTTATACTGGAAATGCCTGTTACCTTCCATTGAAAATTGGAAGGGCTTGAGCTTTTTGCTTGCTTGATATTCACTTTCTCTAAGTGCACCTTTGAGTTAAGAATTAATATTATAATTAAGTTATTATATGAATATACTTTGATACTTTATAAGCCTATTTTTAAGTAACAGGAGTTTGTGATACTAATTTTTTTCATCATTCTTGAGGGAGAGGAAAGGGATATCTTTGTTTTACGGCTCAGATGGCTGTATTTGTTTATATAATCTTAATCTATATTTCAAAGTTTTCTTTGATTTGGCTTTTCTTAACGAAGAAAGCTCTCTTTGCAAAAGCTTAGGTAAGTTTTTTGTGGTGGTATGTGAAAATACCATAGTTGTCTCCTGTATGTTTAGAGTATGAGGTATGTGGCAAACACTGGTGGTTATTCTGGAGTTGGCAGGTGGTTTTGGTGGGTATTTTCTTGAAATTCTTAGGATTCAGGCTTTAAACAATTTGTACAGTCTGACTTTCAGTGAAACTTGGTCGTGGCTGATGAATTATTTGGATCAATCATTCTTCTTAAGATTTTTTTTTTTCCTTTTCTTTAGCAGATCTCTCAACACTTTAAAGTCTTGCTGCAGTGGCTTAAGTTACTGACTTCATTCACTTTGTCTTACTACTCTGTTACGTTTCACTATCCTCACAGCAAGTTTTAACTATCCCTGCAGCAAGATTCATAGAAGGAAACCTGGTTGGGTCTCAGCTAGTCTGGTGCTCAGCATGTGGCAGTTTAACTTTTAAAGTGCCAATGAATGGTGGACTGGGGTAAGAAGCCATCGTGAACTGTGGTATCTGATGAGGAGTTTTGTGGCTTTCTGCTGCCTCCACTAAATGGTATTCTACAACAACTTACAGGGTGGATGTATGGAGGCAGTTATTTTGAAGTACTGCAGGATCTTCAAGCATAGTCCCTCTTTGCCAGACCCCAAAGCTCACTATGCAGCATGTTACTACTGCTTTTCCTCTCTGCCCTCTCAATTCTGCTTTGATTCCTATAAGTACTCCAGCAGATCAGCTTATGGAGCTGCAGTATTCCTAGGGCTCCAAAACATTCAGATGCTTTACTCAGACTTGACAGCATTCTCTCCACAAGTCTGCTGCATATCTGAAAACTTTCACAAGTCCTCTGAAAGAGTATTGACACTGAAACTACTGAGAAATGTCCACGTTGAAGTTTCAGTTCCTTTTCTGTCTGGGTTTTTTAATTCGATTAATGTAAATGCTGTGTTAGTATTAAAATGCAAGCAGTGTGTAAACTGACCTCTGAAAAGCATTTGAAGCCCTTCAGCTATGTGTAAGGACTCATTCTGGTGGGTTTTAGCATAAAACTGTAGCTTTCTTCTGAGTAGGTATCTGTAATTTATTGTTAGTATGTAGTTGAGTACTGGCTTGCTGTTGGAAGCAGTGGAAATCTTGGTGGCATCAAATCTAATGGATTTGATTTTTTTTTAAGGAGTTGCATAACTGTAAATGAGTTAATTGCATGATTTTAAACCTGCAAAGCTTATCTCCCCTGCTAATGGAATTGTGAATACTTATACTCTTGTTTTTCTTTTTGTAGATAACAACAAGAGAAGATACCAATTCAAAACAGGCAACAACTATCAAAACAGACCTGGAGCCTGAAGCATTCCGGCCAAATCTTAGCGATCCCAGTGATTTACTACAGCCAGAACAAATTGAGAAGGTATGAACTTAAATATGTCATTTTTAGTATTGTACCTTACTGTATCATAAGTGCTGTGTCCATAGTGTAAACCACACCAGTAGGAAGACCTTGTATGGCATTAAATGCATGAGCGCAACATAATTCATAGCTAAAATGTTGCTTTTTTTCTTACAATAACTTTCAGTACACCACGACCACACTAGTCTGTGTCTGCCCTCATTTCATTCCTCCTCAAACAGCTTGGCTTTCAGTGCGCTTATTGCTGTCCAGTCCAAAGTCAGATCATGAAATGTGTTTATGGAAGGTTTGGATCAAGGCTGATTTGCGTTCAAAGGCACAGGAACAAGAGAGCAAGCACCCTTTACCCTTCAGCTTGTTACCTCTTGGCTTGAGTGATCTAGTTCCCCAGGACTGAGACGTTGTTATGCAAGACTAACTATGTGGTGTTACTGTCTTACCTAACCTCTGCAGACCTTAATAAGCACACTTTCTTAAGCTGGTGAATCATTCTTCTCCTGTAGGTCACTGCTAGAGCTTGGAGAAGAAACCTGCTTGAGACACCAGAGATAGAAACTATACATGGGAAACTTTAGGGATGGCCTGGAGTTTTAAACTAGCTTTTAAGGACACTTGTAGTAGGGAAGAACTACATACATGCGTAAAAAGAGTAAAAAATGCATTAAATTATAGAGGGTGGTTGTTCTCTTGTTAACAGCTCACAAAGTCTCTTCCACCACGGACTATTGGATATCCATGGACTCTAGTCTACAGTACTGCAAAGCATGGCATGAGCTTGAAGACTTTGTACAGAACTATGCTGGGTTTAGACACACCTGTGCTGTTGGTTATCAAGGACAGCGATGGACAGGTAGGAAAATGTTTTCCTGGAGGTAGGGGTCCCATCAAGAAAAATGTTTGAAGAGTGTAAAGGAATAACAATTTAAATCCATCATGGGAGATAAAATTGTGTGTTTCAAGCCTGTTTTCCCCTTGGTAGTTACCTAGAGGCTTTTAAAAACATGTTTCACTGTCAAGCAATTTTCTGATATACTACATTCCTAGGAAATATTTTAATTATAAGTTCACTGTCACAATGTATGAGTCTCATAATACCAAATCACTGAATTTACTTCTAATATTCTTTTTTTAATGCACTTAAAGCATGAGAAATACAGTCTCTAAACCTTTGATGCCAGAAGATCTTGCGGATTTCAAATGTTATTGCTAGCTCTAGTCAGTGGTTCTTGCTACATTCTGTGGCTGCAGCCAACATCTCTCCCGTTCCAGAGCTGTGGGATCTTTGCATAATGAATTTTTGTTCCTTGAGTCCCTGTAGTTGTGCTCTATTCCCCTTTGACTGAGGCATGAATTCCAGAAAGTGCATCACGTCCCACCATTTGAATAGCAAACATCCTCTCGACTGTTCTGGGAACAGGTGAATGTTACACGCAGCATGAAACTGATTCTTTCTTTCTGAAACTTCCGTGCTCTCTTGTGGAATCAAGTTACTGCTGTCATCAAGAACTGACAGAACCACTGTAAATGCTACAGCATTTACTTCACTTACCTGTCCTACTTTGGTAACCACTGCTTGGATTTTCAGAAGTATGGGCTATATCACCTCTCATCCTTCAGGGGGTCTGAAAAGTGTAAATGAAGGATGTGTCTTCTAATTCAAGTCACAACTTAGGTTTTTTTCCTTCTGTTTCCTGCCTCAGAGATCCTTTCTAAATCTCTGCTAGCAGAGCACACTTCCTAGACGTTCTTTAAAAGGGAACTTTTCTTCATTAACTTTTTAATCTTGAAGGTAAAAACTGTTCCACAGGCTTGATGTCTCAACAGACCTATCAGCCTCTTCAAATGTACTTCTAAACTTCAGATAGTTTCTTCCTCCTTGCTGAGCATACTTTCTCAGTCCTATTTGGCATTCCTTGTTCTGCCTACTGGTAGCCTCTGTGTTTATGAAGGATACTGGTTGTTTCTTACCCTTGGCTTAGGTCGTTTTCCTTCAAGCTAGAATTAATTTATTTCCTGGGCTATTTCCTCTGAGACCCTGTTCCTTGTTGCCCATGTTTATAAAGACAGCCTTTATCTCCTGTTGACAGTAAGCTGAGTAACGAACAAGTGTACCTCGCATCTTTCCGTAATATGGTTCATTAAAGACTGCTAAGCCTCACCCTAATTTTTTTTTTCTCCAAAATCTTCTCCAATCTTGCTTTCTTACTTTAAAATCAATTAGCAGTTTTATTTAAAGGGCTGTAAAAAAACCAGCCAAAACACTTAAAGCTTTAGTTTGTGAAAGCTATTTGTGTAAGAGCTGGACACTGTCTAGTTGAAAGTTGGAATCTGAAGCCATGTAAATTGCCTGCTGTAGTCAATTCTAGGAGATCCTCTATTAGAGGTGGGCAAGAAACCTATGGGTATCTACACTGCGGTTGTTAGAGAATCAATTACTGGTATGTGCGGCTTTTGTTGAAGACACCAAGCTCTGGTGTCAACTCTGAAAGCCACTTAAAAATAAAGTAACACTTGTTTAGTGACTCATGTTCAGGAATTAACTGGTGGTCTAGAAATGGAATTAATGAATGTACTTATAAACCTAGACAGTCCTTGGGGTGGTTAAAAAGTCATTCTTCATGTACTGCAGCAGTGTGAGACACGGAGCCTAGAACTTGAGTATTTTAGCTACCCACAACCACCTGATCTCATGCAGAAATCCTGTAGATGTCAATTCTCAGAGGACTAAAATAATTGTTGGGAAGTAAATAGCTCTTTTGCCATAAAGCCTGATCCTTTTAATGTTGCTTGTAGCAACAGTGTGGTCTTTCAAGACCCAGCTTTGTTGGTGGAAGTGTATAGAAACACGTACATAGAAAAGTTGTGGAGTCCTGATTCCTGGAGGTACCTAAAGATTAACAGGACAGGAGTGAGTCAACCCAGCACAGCTTCAGTATTAGTCCTCCTTTGGGTAGGGAACTGTATCAGAGAGCGCCGAGGTTCTTTATAACACAAGTTATTCTATAATTAGAATTAAAACACAGAATAGCAGAATGCTGGGAGTTGCAAGGGACCTTTGGAGATCATCTTGTCTAACGCCCCTGCCAAAGAAGGTTCATCTAGAGCAGGTTGGACAGGAATGCATCCAGGCAGGTTTTGAGTATCTCCAGAGAAGGAGACTCCACCACCTTTCTGGGCAGCCTGTTCCAGGGCTCTGGAATCTTCAAAGTAAAGGAGCCTTCATTTTGGTCTGGTTTCCCAGAAAGCAAAACATAAATGGTGTAGTTTCTCTTTATCTAAAGCCTGTTACTGTCATTTAGGCTGTGAAGTATCTTGCCAGCGTTTGACCCTATTCACAGCCTAAATGACAGTATCTTGCCAGCGTTTGACCCTATATGTTGAATGAAATAAATGTCTGTGCAGAAAGGGTTTGGGCTACTTTTCCTGTGAGCTTGCATTAAAACAGGAGTTCATAAACTTGCCCCTCAGTTCATGGAATTTCAAGCTTTTAGACTGAAGTTGCTTTTTAACAATGCATCTGAAACTGAGAGGTCTTCTGAAAAATGAGCCCCTTCAGCTGACTGTGATACTGTATTTCATCACCTTGTCAAGTAAGTTTAGAAATTCCTCCAGAGAATCAGATTTTAGAATGTAAATATTGCTCAGAAGTAATTCTCTTCACATAAGTAAAGGGACAGCTTTATTTGTGAGTAAAGTATTTCATTCTTAAAAACATAAATAAAGGAATAATATAAGGAAGGTTCTGTAGGTGTTATGACTCAAAAGCAGTTCAGTATGTAAATCCTACCTCTCTTCCCCTCTCAACAGTGTAGAATGTGCAGTGCTGCCTGCATCAAATTAATTTTGTTTGCTACTCTGCCAGATTTTTTTTTTCTCTCAGAAATTGTTAAATGTTTAATGCAAGAGATTAGAGCTTGGCTTCAACAACAGTTTTGAAACATCTGCTATTGGCATGATTGATCTCTTAGACTTAAGACAGTCTGATCTCTGTCATCCGGATGTTTGAAGGAAATTATCCCTAACATTCTTCAGAAGACTCGCAGTTTTTCCTCCCAACCACTGAGTGGAAGGTTGTGTACTGAGGGCAGGAGGGCGTTTTGTTTCATAACGAGCACATCTTTTCTTTACATGACTTCTCAGTTTTGCTGTCTGCTATTTCAATTAGAAATTTCTGAACAAGAAATTTTCTGCACCACATAAAATTCCTGAGAAATAAGGAATTTTCTAACAGTGCTTGTTCGGAACTGGTAACTCAAGATTGAGCTGGGGCAGTCTTTATTAGATGCTTGATAGCTGTGTATAACCCTCAAGCTCCTGATCTGAAGTGCTCACCTAGTTTTGTGTTTAACAGCTACTATAGAGCTCAACATGGAAAAGAATTCATGGAAACCTACTACGGCCACGGAGTTTTTCGGGATGGGCAGGAGAAAATTGCTTCTACTTTATATTCTCAACATCATTCAAAACAGGACACTAGCTTTAATGCCTCACCGTCATCAATCCCATGCTTTTCAAACTCACTGTTTGAACAAAACCACGGAAACTTCATTGTGTTTTTTTCTTTCGTAGACAAATGAGAGTGTGCTAATGGTACTTGCATCTACTCTGCTCTTGCAGATGCTGAAACAAGCTTCCTATTAGCTTTCCTACCAATATTTCCTTCAGAAATACTGATTTTTGGGAGGGTTGTACTTCATGGGGTATAGTTAAGTTTGCATTATTATACAGGGTTGGGTTTTTTCCATAGTTACTCTAGCTCCTGAGAGATCAATACTATTTTAGTCAGAGTTTAAAATCCAATAATCAGTCCCTAGACTATTTTTAACTACTGTTGTAATGTTCTTATTACTGAATTTTATAAATACTTTTACTACCCAGTAGTAGTAGCTTCGTTAAAATCTCTCTGTTTTAAGACAGGTAACCAGTGCTTACCTGTTATTTGGATTAAAACAAACAAACTACATGAAAAACAATAATTCAGTTACAGGTAGGAAGTTGCTGAAAATAGCCTAGTTGATGTGGAAGAGGAGATGCGTATGAAGCAGCAGATCCTTTTGACCTGAAATTTTAAAAACATGTACATCGTTTCTGAGAATCTCCTGAGTTTGGTTTTTGGCCTTTGGGTTTTTTGTTTTGTTTTCACTACATTCACTTTTTACTGAGAAAGAGTCCTTTTAGCTTTTTTGCTGCGCCACAGTCCACCATTCCATATCTCAATGAATGCACTTGGAACCGTGATACCATGTACGTCTCATGCCGTGGTGAATTCCTGATCTGGCAACATGTATGACCTGATTTGTTTATCAGTCGCTCTCATTAGAGATTCTCAGGTGCTGTATAGCTTTTAATAAGTATTTTCTCTTGCATACTTTTGCTTGCAGGTTTTTGGTGCACTAGCATCTGAACCATTTAAAGTGAGTGATGGCTTTTATGGCACTGGGGAGACCTTTATGTTCACTTTTTCTCCAGATTTTGAGGTAAGTAGTAGTAACTTTCTATGCTTTTGCGTTTTTCCTCCATATGCATTTTCTTCAGGTACTGAGTAAATCTAATAGTAAATGATCTGAAAAATTTTAGGAGTTGGCCCAAAAATGTCATAGTACTAATTTTTCCACTCCGTAAGTGCACAGCAGATGAGTAGTGCTTGTATAATCAGGAACATAGTCAACCTGACCCTTTCATTGTACTGAAGATTTCCATTCTAAATTCTGCCAGGTGTCTGAAAATTCACAAACTATATCCTTTTAAAGGCCATGTTATCTAACCTAAGTATATCTTCTTAGGATTTTCCATTGTTTAGATGTGTCAGTGCTCAAAGACCACCTATTTTGGAATGGTTTTACTTTAAATAGTATAAAACATAGGAGAATTTTTGTCAGCATATATCTGTTCCTTCAGTTTTCTATTTAAACTTGGTAACTTCGTTAGACTGGCCTCTAGCAATTCATAGTTTGTCTTTACTGCCATTTGTTTTCCATTCCTCCCAGACAAAAAAGTTCAGATATTTTTAACTTGCTGGTCTGTTCTGTTTTGTTAGGTTTTCAAATGGACAGGAGACAACATGTTCTTCATTAAAGGAGACATGGACTCCCTTGCTTTTGGTGGAGGAGGGTAAGTAATAATTTGTCATTCGAGTCTGTTAAAAGTGTGTATGTCTGCACACCTTTGAAAGAAAAGTTGGAATTGACTTAGGTTGGATAGCTCAGGACTCAAGAGTTACCAGCCAAGAAAGCTTTAGTATGCCAGATGTTTAGCTTCCGATGGTCAGAAAACTTACCAGGAGGTTTGCCCTCAGCCCAGCGGCCTCAGGTTTCAGCCCTGCAAGATTATGATGCCTGGTGTGCTCTGCTTCTGGGTGTGTCTTGGTACCTTCAGAATGGACACAGGATAGTATGACTCTGAAGGTATCTAAAGGTGAAAATTATGCGTGACTAGAAGAGGCTGGAACTGAAATTGCACCATCCCAAGATACGCTAGTGTCTTCAGGAATTTTATGTTCTCACCCCTTTCTTCTCCTCACACAAGTGCACAAGCTGCTGGGATGTTTCCCTTTTTGCTATCAGCATTGTCCTCACATACAAGAGTACTTCTAGGCCTTTTTCTTAATATAAACAGAAGGGGCTGAAAACGGAGGAGTTCTGGTTTAGCTTTTTATTTGAGAATGTCTGAAAGAGGGATATTACTAAATTAACATTAAATAGTAAGAAAAAGAAGTCTCGCAGCTCAAATTTATCAACAGCTCTAAGGTACTTGTGTTGAAAATAATTCTATAATTCCTTCTCATTCTTGACTTCTGAATGAAGAGTACATTCATAACTTGATTGCTTATTCCCTCAGTCTTTTGCTTCAAAACATTGTCTGTCTTGCAGAGGGGAGTTTGCTCTTTGGCTGGATGGTGATCTCTACCATGGAAGAAGTCACTCATGTAAAACATTTGGGAATCATACGCTTTCGAAGCGAGAAGACTTCATTATTCAAGACATAGAAATTTGGGCTTTTGAATGAGTATTTAACTATTTCTACAGGGTGTTGTCCCAAACCTGACATGAATCAGCGTGCAGCTCAAAAATCCCTAGGAGCAATATAATGCATCGTTTTACCTTTTTGATTTTTTTCCTAAGTTTTCAGCGTGGCCATGTAGTTGTTGTTTTGAAATATCAGACTTTTTTTTTATGCTCTCAAATCTGTAAAATACTGTCCTACTCTTTCCAAGCTGTAGGCACTTTGAAACATAGGCAGTGTGGACTAAATATTAACAGTAGTTAACTTTGAGCCTTGCAGCCTACAGAATTTTCTTACCCTTCTTACGGTTGCCTCCCAGGCTTCCCACACACACCTTTCTGCCAACCTGCTAGGGGGCTGCTTCATGGAATATAGGTTATTATTTTTGTATTCAAATGATGTCTGTGAATGAAGCTGCCCTCTGTGAGCCGAGCTGAGAGGAAAGCTGCGTGTGGGTGCTTGGCAGCAGTACCGCAGAGCTTGGTGCAGGCCAAGGTTGGGTTAATTCATAGGGTGCCACTCGCAGAAGGGAAGCTTAGCCGGCTTTCCTGACACATACCAGAACGCTTACGGTAGGGTTACAAGATATCCAAAGTCAACAGTGCCACTTGTCTTGTTTATTGTTCATGTTTAGGAAAAACGTCAGTTAATACGTGTTCTAGCTGCATGCTGATTGTATTAAAGAACGTTTTGCACACACTGTTTAATGATCTGCAGGTTTGGGACAAATACTGACAATACTGAGCTACGTGGTGAGGACTTAAGAAATAGCACGGGAATGTAAGAATACAATAGTTCCACAGAATGAAAAGGCTAAAGCAAGCAAAATTCGGCGAACAATTTGTAGCTATAGTAGGGCATTAAAAGTGCAGAAACAGATGCATCTTTCTTCAACATAAAGTGTCAGATATATACTGTTATACTGTTGTAGCCGTGTAGCACATCCACTCCAAGAATATAGCTTATTCCTGTCCAAAGAAAAAAATAGTTGTGATGTTTTTGAGTGGGTCTATGTTGTAAATCTACAGTTAGCACCAGCTCTGATTAAAATGAGATAATGTACTATAGGTAGACAATATTGTAATTCAGTAAACTCGTGGAATATGCAAACTTACTGTCATGTGACCTCAAAAAAAAAAAATGACAGCCTAGAATACAGTTCCAGTAGCTCTCGTCCACTTTTGTAGAAAAATTGATAAGCCATTGTGGCAATAACAGCTCAACAAAACTGTTTGTTTCAAAGCTTTTCTTCTATGTTCTGCAAAAACAAAACAAAACAAAAAAACCCCTTGCTGTTAAGTGTGACAGTGACTGACTTTGTGCTGAAATTTCAGCTATTTCAGATGAACATTGTATATTATCTTGTAAATTAATGTTTAAAGTAGTTTTGTTATTATAGAAAAGTGTTGATTGACGGGTTGCTTATAGCACTTTAAATTTATTCTAGAAATTGAATAAAAGCCAAATGGGTTGGCTTAAGTAGACGTAGTTGTATATTATTTCACAATATTTACATCTCTGGAGAGTTTTACAAACTTACTTGAAGACAGCTTACTGCTATGGGAACGAGAAAGGGCAGATGTTTCATCGATAATATGCTAATGCTCAATATGAATAGAAATACAGGGCTCTGTCTCCTGTCTCTGTGTATAGCTCTTTATCCTTATTAGAATTAGTACAATGTGTAGACTTAAATGTTTACAAAATAAGGAACTGTAAATAAATTGAAATGGCTTTTCTCCCCTTTGGTCTTCCACAGCAGTATTATTGTCTTTGTGGAGTTAAGACTGATTATTACAACAACAACAAATCCTGTAATGGATTTTAAGTACTATAAGGTCATAGTGATGTATAGCAAATAAATCTAAATATATGTAAGAATAAACTTGAGTTGGAGTTTATTTAGCAGTGGGAATTTACTTAGAAGCACAAATGCAGATTATTGCTGTGCATTTAATAACTTTGCTGAATATATAGGATGCACTTGCTCATCCTTTGGGGGATTCGTGTGTGTATTTTTAAAGCTAAATGGGAAGCGCTGAGAGTAAAATACACTGTCAGCCGTTTTAAAGAGGAGGAAAAAAATCATCTCAGCTTGTCCTTGCTGACAAAACCCATTAATTCAAGCGCTTTGTCGCTGTCCTAAGATCATATTGCAAATAAGGCATGGTTTAGATTATAAATGCTACTGTGAAGACTTTTATAAAGAATTATACTTTCAAGAATTATAAAAAAGCACAGGAAATCTTCAGTAGCTGAATGTCTCTGAGAATTGGAGCAGTCTGGGAAAAAGGCACGTGGGGGAAAGATGAGGTGGAAGTCAATAACGGTGTAGTACGCAACGCGGTAACAATCCCTCTTTATAAGCCCTAAGTCGGTTACGGAACAGAAGGACACTTGAGTTTACAACCAGCTGTGGTGACACTCCGGGGTGTGACTGGCTGTGTGAAGGACCTACAGAGTAACACATGTCTGTTAACGGAAGACCAGGAATTTTGTTCACCAACGGCGTAGTTAACTTCTCTGACATGCACAGAAGGCTGTGTAGGTGACCTCACGCCTTCAGTTCCACATGCATCTTCTGCAGTGTAATTCCTTTGTCTTTCCTGGCAAGGTCTGCTCCTGTGGTTGTGAGGAGTTGAGGTCTGACATGCTGAAGGCTTTGTGAGCTACATTTCTGGCAACGAGCTCTTTGAAAGACATTGTCTCGGCATACAGTACTCGATGTATTTGTTGACTAACTTGGTCTTTTGCTTGGATACTCTTCCAAGTATCTTTCACTCTCACCACATCATCTTCCAGCTCTAAATCCTGTCTGTGTTCATGACTGCTTTTGTGTGATCTGCAGGAGGTCATGATTTCTCAGGTGTGGCTCGTGCCTGCATCCCCCGCTCACTTACGTGCGCTACACCTGCTCTCGAACGCGAAACTGCCTGCGGTGTGCTGTGGCAGCAGGGGTGACTGTAGGCGAGATGCTGCTGCGGTGCTACACGTGCCAGCTGAAGGAGCTGTGGCAGCAGGGTTGGCCAACACGTGTTCTGTTGTCAGTGGCCATCGAACACCTCGCCACAGGTGATACACTTCCTGCTACAGCTGATTTCATCCCAGTAGCCTTCCCTCATTCTAAAAACGAGCTGTAATATGGAACCCTGGCCGCGTGGAAACATTTTCGAGAAGGAATTACTGGCGTGGAGAAGGGAGCTGATTGCCAGTGGGTGTGATACTCATCTAGTGAACTGTCCACTTGCTTCAGGGTGCTGCAGCAACTGGTAGGACTTGGAAAAAATAGAGAGGTGTGAAAGTTATTTCTTCTGATAGGAATGGCGTGCTGTCTCTTAAGCAGGACAGCGCCGTTCGGAGCGTGGAAGTGTGTCTTGCTCTGCAGAAACTGTGAAGTACAAGTTTTTCTGTACCAAGGAAGGAACTTTTCTTGCTTAGAAACCACGCAACCCTTGAAAGCAACACAAGCCTCTGGCAGGAAAAGGAGGGAGGTGTTACTTGCCAGAAGGAAATCTGTTTCAAATAAAACGTTTGGGGGCGAACACAATATTTATGAAAACAATGTGCAACTGTAAGCGACAGTCAGGGAAAGGAAGAGTTGCTCACCCTTAATCTGAAAAACTAAGGGTTTTATTTGTGAAACAAGTCAGAAATAGGAGAGCAGGTCTTAAATAAAATCTGTGCAGACTGCTTTAATCAGTTTCTGACCTTTATCATCTCACTACGTAGAATTTAAGTGGGAAGTTTAAATTTGGCAGAGGTCACACTAGTTTCACACGAATGTAACAGTTGCAATACAGTAGGAGAGTTAAATTATCCAGCTCATTCAATTGTTTTTTAATTAATTCAGATTTATCTTTTCCACCTGCTTTGCACGGGTCAACTTGTCACACATGGTTTTTATAACTTTTTTCACATATAATTAACCTACACGAAACTCTTCTGTACAGGATAAATTATATCTATTTAATTTCTGTTACACAAAAAAGGTAAATTATGGAGGACATTGTGAGGAAAAATAATTAGCCATATTACATGTGGCTTTCTCATCCAATTGGGAAGAAATTTTGAGTGGAAGTACTGAAAAGTGTTTTGGAGCTTTTTTGTTGCATAAAGTTTTTAACACTGGATCGGGATGACCATGAATAATGGGAGGCTTAGAAAGTTATCTGCAGTGAGCTATAGATTTATGGTGTATAGTAGTGATGACATCACTGCACAGTGATCTAAGGAATTAAAGGTAAGGAGAGAGTTGAAGGGGTCTTGTGAGCTTGTAAGGCAAAGTCTTTCTTCCCCTCAAATGTCAATTGATCTGTTACGTTTCAATTAACCTATAATCTTCGTTTTATCCTGTGTGGTAAGTATAAATTTACATATTTATGGATGTTCCAGTATGCAGGAAGAGATCAGCTAAATTAACTCATAGAATGGCTTGGGTTGGAAGGCACCTTAAAGATCATCTAGTTCCAGTGCTGGGATCCAGAAGCAGAGTGCCACTGGTCCAGTCTGTTGCTGACTGTTCGAATAAGAGTTGCAGCGGTTCCGTTCTCCGTACTGCGTAGTACCGTGAAGGAGGAAACGAGAAGGTTGCTTGTCTCCCTGTCACTGCGTTGGAGTGCAGCTGAGAAGCTTGCCCTGCAGCTGGGGCTGTCCTCGCCTCTCTTGTCCCCAGCGTTAGCGCAGGCGTTGTATGAAACCGCTGAGTGTCGCTCGTCCACGCTGACTTCTGGTGGGTGCACGGGATGCTGCGGAAAACTCAAACGTTGATAATGTGTTGCTTGCACGTGTTTCGGTGGGTGAAACTTCCATGAATCTCAGCATTAACTTTGGTGCAGATATGACTAAATTTCAGACGTTAAAACTGGGTTAGGAGCAATTGTTGCCTCCAGAGTAAATGTTTAACTTCCTCTAATGAACCTGGAGGAAGATGCCTGCGCTTGAGAATGCCGGCAGCATTCAGTCCAGGTCAGGTGCCTGCCTCCCGCGTTGTACGGGGCAAGAGCAGTGAAATGCCAGAGCTACATCTGCCTGTGCTCCGGCCAGCCAAGCCTTTTGTCAGCAGGCATGAAACGAGGCAGGGATGTCTCTGGTGGATGAAAACTGTTGGCAACAATTGCTGCCTTCCTGTTGTGTAACGATTTCTTCACTAGAAGCAGGGCTCTGCAGGTAG